CAAGTATTTTGTCTCAGCAATGAGAGAAAAGTAACAAAGACAAATACTTAATAAGGACCTACTGGATAAATAAATGAATCTGGTACAGGCAAAATAATAAAGCAAACTGAAGAAGAAGAGAAAAAATAAAATTGAGGTGTGTTATGTACATGTACCAGTTCACTACAATGATTGTAATTATTGTATACTGCAAGCCTATATACATACACACACAAAAGACACACATGATGATCTGTGTTCTCATTCTATCAACTCCAAAACACTTGTTAAAAAATTGAAAAACACAAAAATAAAACTCAGTAGTTCAGCCTTAAAATAGATGAGTGAAGTAACAGAAATGTCAGTCAGACCATCTAGGGCTACAATGTCTGAAGTACAGCTACTGAGCACTTAAAATTTGACTAGTTTGAATCAAAATGTGCAATGCTGAAATACATACTATGGTGCTGGAGCATAGCTTGTGGCAGAGTGCTTCTTCAGCATGTATGAGACCTGTGTTTAGATACCCAGCACAGGAAAAACAAGTGCTGAATGCTGAGGATCTAGTATGAAAAAAACGAGCAAAAAGGAGTGTGAACTACCTTAATCATAACTATTTCATATTCATTAAATGCTGAAGTAATATTTCAGATATTTTAAATGTGTTGTGGAGAATAAATTCACTTACTTCTTTGCATATTTTTAAAACTGGCTATTGGAAAATGTAAAAGTCCATAGTATATTACATTACAATCTATTCGACAACTGTGTACTAAAATCTTGGGGGCCTCTACAACATCTAATAATGGATTGCAAAGTCTGCTAGAAGCTACACAAAAATGTTAAAAAAAAATATAACTTAATTCGGCTGTATACTGAGGATCTATATGCAAGACATATCAGGCAAATAAAATGTAAAATGAACTCTGGCATCTAAAAAGGGATTTGAGTACAACTAATTGTTAAATAAGTCACGGTGTAAGTCTTATGGAGAAATACAAGGAAAGGTAAATGTAGCACAGGAAAGGGAGGTATTTGTAAATTCCTGCAAAGGAGCTATCTTTTGGGGTTAATATTTAAAACTATGCAGGATTTTGACCTTCGTGATAAGGTATCTTTATCCTATGTTATCTTTATTTGACGATTATCCTATGTTATCTTTATTTGATGAAAAAGGAAAACCATTTTAGAAAAAGTAGAATGGTAGAAACAATAACCTACAGAACTGAAAGACCAAGGATTACACAGTATTGGTAGATAGAGTAATTTAAAAGTGTTAAGATGAAAATGTATGCTGGGGCCAAGTAGGAAATTCTGAGTATGCTGCCCGGGAGCCTGGACTATTCCACTGCTAGAAGAAATAATCAACCAAGTGTCAACAAGATTGAAAATACACTTTCGGTGTATTTCCTTTCGGTTAGGAAGGCATGGAAAAGAAGTATCTGGCAAAAGAGTGCAGAGTGGGGAAAGGCAGAAGTAGCATTAATAAGAATACTTAAGGCATAAATAAAACACTACAGGATTACAAACAACAGCAGCTTAAAATTACAAAGGTACAAGAGAAAAAGGGCCTCAGGTGTAGTAGTAAGTAGTCAACAAAATTAGTTTAGTAGGCAGTAAATGATGATCTAAATTCAGGCAGTGGAGTAACAGAAAATAGCATACGTAGGTAGAGGTGGAAGAGCCAATGAGACTGAAATAACAAGAAAAGGAAAGGTAATGACCAGGACTTTCGGCAGCTCATAGTCACAAAAGGAAAGACAAGAAGAACTGGAAGAAGGCAGAACAATGCTGAGGCAGAGGGGGAGCTACACTACTTATTTAAGGAATGTAATGCTGGTCCTACGAAACGCAGGCAACCTTTTTGCAGAGATTCACAACGGATGGCTGTGAAAAGCTCAGAGACCTAAGTGCCTGCCTGGCAAGCACTGGTTGTGAGTTTGATCCCTGGTACAACGAAAGAAAGAAAGAAAGAGGAAAAAAAGGAAAAGAAAAAAGAAAGGAACATTAGTAGAATAAGAAGGGTAATGATAGAAACTAAGAAAAGAGAAGTTGCTAGATGGAAGATAATATACCACCAAATAGGGATAGGTGCATCTAATAACCTTACGATCCAGATGATGTTACAACATGAATAAGAAATGGAGTTAACTGGTCGGGTAACATAACGTGATACCTTAGCAAACTCAACAGGAATTAAAGGAAAACATTAATTTCGCCAGGTATATGTAATGGATATCAAGAAGTCTAAGATATAAACACAATATGTAAAAACAGTTATCCACTGACCTCACCCTGAATAGACACACCGGAAGCAGGAGGAGACAATATGAATTCCGAGTCTAGGTCATGTTGAAGATCATTAGAAAAGGGTGAAACTCAGTAGGAACTGACCAGGTTTCAGGTCAGAAGATCACAGTAAGAGGAGAAGGTCAAGGCTGGAAACCCATGGGGCACACTGCTTCTGAGGGAAGACAGAGCCCAAGTCTGACACACTGTGAGTACCTGAAACTGATACACACGCAGGTGATTTGGAAGAGGCTGACTAGTCAGTATCACCTGGACACCAACGTGTATGATGATATCACTAAAGCCAGCAACAGGCACAGTGACCATGTAAACCAGTACACCTATGTCTTTCAGTTTACGTCTGCAGTCCTAGTATTCTGGCTGTTTAGATAACATATGAGATGATTTTCCTAGCAGAAGTTAATACAGAAAATTTTTTTAAAAAGTTTTGTGTTTGTAATAATGAGCACAGAGCAAAACAGTATTAACCAGAGATGGGTATCAAAGAAGGTAGGGTTATCCAATGTCAGTAATAAAGGAAGAAGGGGCTCCAAGTCAGCAGGACATAGCCTTGAGGATGCATTTGCAGGACTAGTGAGCAGATGTAGGAAGAAAAAGGGCCGTTGGATACGTGGTTTCCTGACATGATGTTAGTAATGCTTTCAGTCAGGAAAGAGCACAGGAGGAAGAGATCAAAACCCATTAAAGCAGAATCCTAATAAAAAGGAAGTTTTAAAAGACACAAAAAATGGGTCACACAGAGAACAGGGCCTGGCAAAGGCCTGTCACTTTCAGGACAAAGTGAAACTATCTATTCTGAATTTTAAAAGTCCCTTATATAAGAGTGATCACAAACGGCAGGTCACCAGCATTGACACAAGGTTCTATGTACATGTATATCTAGTACACCCTTGAATTTTAGCAGGAAGCTTTCTTGGGTTAGTCAGCATTTTGTATGTTTATTTACACAGCAAATTCAATTCAGTAATGGAGAATCATCAAGTATCCAATCTAGGCTTGGAACAAAGAAAATGGGTATGCAACTTGAAACTTTTTACCACTAGACACATTGGTATCATGTGATAGCATAATCCTGTGATAGCATAATCCTGTGTGCTCTCACAGGATCAATGGGCAAGAATGTTTTTCAAAGTCACTCTGAAATTATCAAATTTAGATATCACTGAGGAAGAATATCAAATAAGTAAGAACTAGGCTATTCTACTTTTGGACCAAATGGGAATTAAACCCAAATCAGTGGAAATTCTACATCTGGTACATGGACTAGAGATGTGAAGAACCAGCCATAGCACAAACAATGAATTAATTCCACGGAAAAAAGATTTTCCCTCGACAAAGCCTGCATCCCTAACATTTTCTTCCAAAGGAGAAGAAAGACATATACCATTAATTTTCAACCTTTACAAGCACTGAAAAATATTTACAAACTTAGTTTTCCTTTTACTCATTTCTTCCTTTCATGCTTTGAAATTTTTGTGAGTTTGCTTAGCTTTATGTCATGTTCACTGAATTTAAAAAAAATTTTTGCTGGGTGTGGTGGCTCATGCCTGTAATCCCAACACTTGGGAGGCTGAGGCAGGAGGATCACTGCGAGGTCGAGACCAGCCTGGGCTACAAAGTGAGCTCAAGGTCAGCCTGAACTGCATAGCGAGACCCTGTCTCAGAAAGACAAAAAAAAAAAAAAAAAAAATTTTTTTTAACCTGATACACACAAAAGGCAAGTCCTGATAAAATTAGGTAACAGTCATTAAAAACAAGCCTCCTGATAGTAAATTTTAAGAAAAGGCAGCTAGCATTCCTAAATGTACAAATTCTTGCATAATGGGAAAATTATTTTTAAATTTTAAACACTCTTATACAGAAAATCTCAACATTCTTTACTAAGAAAACTTTCGCTATAACTGTAAGTCTTGAAATTCATATTTAATGTTTGTTTGGAGATCTGTAATGCTGAGGAACATCTAAGCAGATACAGATAGAAAGACAGCCGTGATATATTTCTCACGTTTTAGGCAATGAGACAGCATGAAATCCATGACTGACTCAAACGAGATTCTAACATAAAAAATCTAGTTTTATGTTATTTGAATATAAATGTTTTCCTTTAATTAAAAATAGGAGTCAGATACAGTAACAAATTATGGGATGAAGGTCCCAAAGGGAAAAAGTGAAAATACACTGTTTTTTTAACTAATCTCAAAACTGATGCTATTAAAAAAAAAATTAACGAGCATATATAAATAACTGACTTCAGTTAGGAGGGAAAAGAAAATAAAAGGCAAAGAAATCCCCACAAAATCCTCAAATCAAATTCTTCTTAACAATAATTCACACTAATTTAACAGTTGACAAAACAGTATCAAAATAATGTTTAAAAAGTATTTCCAAATTGTACACTGAAGCAGAATTATTATATCATTCACTTTAGATTCTAACTTTGTTAGATTAAACAATGATCTACTTTACTACTATCCATGGAATTTTGATCCCAGTTCTTAAAGTAGTTAAACTTATTTCTGTGATGGTTAATTACAATAAAATTAAATCACATGTAATAATTATCGTAGGAAGAAGTTTGGGTTACATAACATAACAGCAGAAATGAGCTGGGACTGTTTTATTGAGAAAACCAGAAGATAGTGAGAAACACAAAAACTATATGCAAGATGTTTCAGCATCTATGAGACAACTCCACATTAAGACCCTCTTACCTGCCATCTGCATAGTCTGTGTCGGCTCCGCCCCACCAGACATCTGAGTCATCCTCTTCTGCATCAGCTGAATCAATATTGTCACTTTCTTCAGCCAGCGGGCAACACACAAACTCCACCCCTCGGAACTTGTCAATTCCACAAGGCAGCAGCATGCCATAGTCATGCAAGTTGGTGCTTTTCTCACTGCATGTCTACAGAAGGTGGGGAGAGAACAGTGAGAGGGGCAGGGGAGATGTGCTTCAGTGTAAGAAACCCCAAAGATAATACTCAACGCTTGGCTCCCAATAGAGTTTCCCAAAGGAAAACATTTGCTTTTTGAACTGTATTTACTACAGGGTTTCCAGCATAAACTACCCTGGTACATTTTGTGAGTTTACTATTTATATAATAAGAGCATGATGCATTGCTATAGAGGTTTATAAAAACCGGAAAGGAAACTGATTGCAATAATTTTGAGTATCATAACTGGAGGGCTGCACTTGTGAACAGACATCAAAGAGAATCTATGCTTCCTGGATTTACTGGTGTACCAGGAAACTACGAAGATTCCTTGTGTATCCCCAACTCCGTCCCAACTCCAAAACAGATCTGTGTTTCCCTCATTTGATTTGTCTTACTCTAGACATTCTAACTCTCTTGTCTCCCCTTGCAGAGTAGCAAGCCTAGACAGAAAAGAAATTATCCTCTCTTAGGCTTCAGATCTAGAGTATCGCCCAAAAGATTTATGTATTTATAGGTCAGGCGTTTGGAAGCAGACTGGATCCTGGAGGTGCTGTACTCACTGGTATAGATGGCAGCTGTAGGGGCTATTAGGAAGGTGGCTGAAAGAGCCAGGTCACTGGGGTCATGACCTGGCATGGTGTTATCTCCCTCCCGGGCTCTTCTCTCTCTTTCTGCTTCCTGGCCACCACGTTGTGAGCACCTTTCTAGCTCACCATGCCCTTGCTGATTTGAAGCTGGTCAGCCATAGACTGAAAACATGAACCAGAACAAACTCTCCTCCGTTAAATTGAGGGTTTTGGGTACTTTGTCTCAAAAAAGAGAACGGGGAAGTGACTAAGACATCTTCTGCAGCTCCTATGAATCACAATTTACTAGTAAGTACTAGAGATTTCTCTTTGAGGTTTTTTTTGCTTTCTTGGGTTCCATTAAATTTGCACAAGTCTAAACTAACAGAAAGCTCAGAAATCATCTATAAATGACAGAAGAGAGGCTAATTGTTCAACATCTTTCAATGAAACTATTACAGAATGTATTTTGACCTCCTAAGAATCAGGGTCTTTTTTTTCTTAATAGCAAAAAATTTTTCTTTTGAAAGTTCAGAAGAAATGAAAAATGAAGTTTAGATGGGAAGCTGGGCTTTAAATTATGTTGTTTGCTTTCTTAAGCAAGCTCTTCAACCTCCAAAACACATTTTTATGTAAGGAAAGTTTTATTTTATAGTGAATCACAATGTAAGTTACCCAGACTACTGTCAAACTTGAAACCCTTTCTTACATCTTGAGCCTCCTGAGTAGCTGAGACTATAGGCATGAATTATCATGCTGCTTGGAACATATTGTTTTAAGAAAAAAAAAAGCATTATTTTATAAAAGGCAAAAAGTAATGATAAGTTTAAATGCTGTTTTCTGCCCAAGAGCTTTAAAGCTGAACTGGATCAGAGTTTCCAAGTTCAGGACTGACATTTTAGACTGAATAATTCTCAAGGGCAGGATAGGGAACGGTCCTCCTCACTGTTCATTGCTTAGCAGAATCCCTGGTCTCTAGGCATGCCATGCCAGGAGCACAGCTTCCTCCAGTTATGACAATCAAAAATGTCCCATTTTACTGGGATAGCGGAGCAAAACCACCTGAATAGAAAAGCAGCAAACTATATATAGAAGCCTAATTCTAGGACATTGATCTCACTGGCTCACCATAAATAACTACATCTTTAGCAGAAAAAAAAACTCCATTATATCAAAAGGATAATAGAGCTTTACAGATGTTAATACCACAAAGTGACATTTCATGCTTTCTCATCTTTTACTTGTTCAAGCCAAAAGCAGAGGTTGGCAAATAGCTGGGTTTGGTGCTACCGATTCACCACCTTCTTAAGTAACCCAAGTCCTGGCCAGTGTACACAAATACAGGTGGCAGCATGGCCTGCTGAGTACAAAACTGGACAGTATGACCTAGAAACTGAAGCCTAATTGTAGCTTTCATGCTAGAGTCTGACAACCTAGTTTCTTTGTTCCATGACTGTGGGAAAAGGTTAAATTAGGAAAACTTTATATATAGGAGAAGCAAATTTGAAATCAATAGCATGAAAAATTTTGAAGTCATTGTTAAGTATTAAAACTGTAGTTTTACTTCATTTATGAAAAATGGTACAGTTACATAATAACTCTAACTAAATTAGAGCCTGATTTCTGACTCCTTATAAACATCTGTGATAAAGAAAGCTTTGCAAGTGTGAGGATGGGGGTAAACAGAACTCTATACTTTCTGTTCCATTCTACCGTGAACTTAAAAATGCTCTAGAGAACTCCCAAGATCTGGCTATGGTGGGACTCAGGCAGCTTATTCACCACCTGCCCTCTTGGTAAGCACCCCGGCAAGGGCCAGGAGCAGAACCATTACCTGTGAGCCTACTGCCACGCAGGCTGAAAATCAAGCACCCTTGCCCTACTCCAACCACCCCCTCCACCACAGCTACTGGGGATAGATGTCTCAGCATCTCTTGGGAGGATGACCATATGCAGTATAGCAAATATGGGGGATTTCCTTATATCTTCTGTTTGAAGGCAAAGGTTGTTTTTACTGTTTTGTTTTTTGTTATGTTTCTTTTGCTCTATTCAGTATTCTTAATTGGTTTTATAATGTTCTATTTTTGGTTTGATTTTGCTATACCTAATTGATGGAACAACTATTGTGAATTTAAGGAGATATACCATAGTACCTATTACTACTATCCCAATATCCTACTGTGAAATTCTGTACCAATTTCACTGCATTGTCTCAGTTGGCTTTGTTCTGTCTTATTCTGTTGCATTTTTACTACTTTTGAAATAAAATTTTTTAAAAAATGCTCTAAAAAGTAAAGTCTATTTTTTAAAAAAAACTAATGGGTAGTTTTTAGTTACTTATCAACAAGCTATTGCCTCAATATACTCTCTGAAAAGTAGCTGAAAATGTCCTCCAGGAAATTACACTTTGCAAGAAAGAACTTATGGGATGGTACCTCTTTGGCAACGGTGTGCCAGTGAAGGTGTGTCTCACAAACATCCATCCGCTCCTGGTGTAAGAATTTGCACTTGTCAGGAACGAGGAGGGCGTCACTTACAAACTCACCAACTGAAAGAAAGGAAAACCACTCCGGTCATTCTGTCAGCATCACACTGCTCTCACACAGAGGCCAGCATCAAGGCCGGGTGGGGCAAGGACTACCGATGTTCCTCAAGTTTTACAAAACAAGCAATCAAATCAAGACTCCAGAACCTTCAGAATGCACAGTCTGGAGTCTTTGAGTAGTCCTGTTCCATGCCACATCAACCTTGATGATTACGCCTCTTCTACATGTTATAAGCAACGTCTTTCTTTAATCTAAATTTCTGTTTCCAACATAATCACATTAAAAACAACTTGGCTAATCAATTTCCACTCATTTACAGCAGGGAATAAAATGTAAAAACTAGCATTGAATTAATATAAATTGTCTTTTTTTTTTTGAAAATTTCAATGTTTATAAATTATTAGAGATTTTAGCATTTTTTCTAATGCTAGAAAACTATACATTCACAAGTATGAATGTATTTCTGTAACACATAACAGAAAATAACTCAACTAATTATGAAAATTATTCTTTGGACTTTTTTACTTTTAAAGAAAATATGTACCATACAAATTATTTCTAGGCAATGCTAACACTATGATATAAAGATATTACATAAAATCTTCCATGAACTCACCTTCTAATGAGATGAAAGATAAGTAGTAACAACAAAATAATACATAAACTGTAAACTTATTTTTTGTTTGTATTGTACACTGTAGCAGCCCCAGTATTTAGCACAATTTCTGCACATAGTGGTAATAAATATTTACTGATGAATTAACAAGTTATATGTAATAAAGATGAGGAAAGTATTTGGTCAGTCAACAACACTGCTTGGATGCACTGGGAAAAACTGTATCAGATATAAATCTGAATGGATGAGCAAAATATACCATGTAGAAATGAACACAAGTTTCGTAAAATAAGAACAGCATCTATCTTTTCTACTATTACCTCAATTCCTGGCTTAGTTTTAACAAATATGCCCCTATTGGATGGATGGATACATGGATGGATGGATGGATGGATGGATGGATGGATGGATGGATGGGAGAATGGATCAATGCATGCACAGAAAGAAGGAAGGAACATTAGGATGGGAAGGAGGGAAGAAGAGAGGGAGGGAGAGGAAGGATGGATGGATGGTTGGCGAAAAGTCCTTCAAAATGAAGAAATCTGTACAAAGGAAAAAAAAAAAGAAAGAAAAAGAAAAAGTGAAGTATATTACTATGGCCGGAACACAAGATAACTGAAAAAGGAAGTTCGGAAGTAAATGACAAAACAGAAAGCTCACTGTACCCTAACATTTAAAAATTAGCAGTAAATAACACTGCATGTATTACTGAGAGGATTAATGAAATAGAGGAAATTGCTGTCCATCAGAAATTTTAAGAAATTAAACTAAACTACAAAAATCTTTAACAAAGATTAAAGCTATGTGGTGAAAAAAATCTAATGAAGTCTTTTTCACTAACTTAGCTTAGCATGATTAAATTTCCTTTTTCAAATTATAAAGGAATTATTATTTTTAAAATATACGCTAGGATAAGGTATATGACAACTCTGCTTTGTGCTCAGGTATGCTAAGAACTTAAAATTGCTCTAAAAGATAAAGTTTATTAAAGTCTGTGATTATAAGTGTCCATAGAACCATGTATACCTTAATTTCTGAAGCAAACCATTTGTTTATTCAACTTGATCTTTCAAGAGAAAGACTCTCAGTAGAATTCAAGCAAATGAGATGAAAAAATTCAGCATCGTAATAGAAATTGTGTTCTTGTTTATAATGAATGAACTTTAGGAAATTTGGTACCATTTAATCTAAAAGGCTAAATAGCATACATTAGGCATGCTTACTGTCAACCAGACAACCTGATTTTTTACAAGTCAAAATGTACGGTATTTTAAACACATGCAAATTCCACAAGAAAGGGAACTTCTGAAGCTCCCGAACAAAGTCTGGGTATGGCTTTTTGGCTACAAAGTCTTGGCAAGGTAAATAATGATGCCAAATTCAACAGGGATTAGGCAGGCTTCTGTCCACGAGCTCTCTGGTGGTCTTTTTGAGGGCTGCCTGGCTCAAATTCCCTCATTTTGCAGATAGGCAGGGGAAAGCCCAGGTCAAGTGGTTTGCCCACAGAGCCAACTGCAAGCAGGAACGCACTGAAAATCAGGTCTCCGGACTCTCCATCCAAGAGTGGGAACTCAACTCCCGCATTTAAAAATCTGATTGAAATGGAGTCTTTGGCCAATTTCTCTTGGCTTTTGTAAAAACAGACTGGTTTTCAGACTGTGCAATGCTTCAACATTACAATCTACAATGTGGTCCACTGGACAATGAAACTAGAATTAAATTAGCTAGTAAGCCATGCAAAAAGCTGGGTATGAATTTGGCTGCACAGTGGAGAACATGGTAAGCAACAGCTTAACACACGGTGTTAGTTATCTCACATGAGAAGTAACAACAGTCAAGGCTGGGTTGCTATGGATACTCAGTGCCATCAAGGATCAAGCTATTTTTATCTTTCTGCATACTCACGCTTAGAATGTTGGCTTTGGATCTCATACTTGATCACAAAAAAGCCACAGAAACTTAGAGATTTCATGTCCAATTTTCAAACTGAAAGTACACAGGACAGTTCTAACGGAGAAGGTTTTCAGTTTGTTTCTCCCTTATGAAGATTTGCTTGTTCTCTGGACCAGACACACTCTCCAGGGACTCATGTAAATACATGCACGCCTTTTCTGTCATCTGCCCACATGTAGCTGCAAGGGAATCTGCAAAAGTGTTCTCAGCTGAGCATAGGCCATCCTTAAAACTCTTACAAAGGAAGGAGCGGGAATGAATACTAAACAGGCAAGGGGCAGGGGCCCCAGTACCACTGAATTCAAAGACAGACAGGTATTTTTCACTGTCATTATGTTGCCTTTTCAAAAGACACATGATTCTAGGAAGAGAACAGGACTAAAAGTGTCAAATGGTACCCCTTGAAACAAAGGACTACTCTCCTCCACCACATAGTGAAAAATGGGAAGGTAACAGGTGTGAGAAGCAAAAATTCTTAAAACCGAGACTGCTTGGTTTCTGAAAGCCAAACTGGTTATGAATACACTGATTTAAAAGGTTCCAGAGCCACACAAAGGAACTTTGAGGCACAGAGATCTCAGACTGAAAAAGATACTTCTATGAATCTGTGAGAACTTATTATGTGGCTATACTTGAAGACATAGATACTTAAAAAAATAAAGTGGATGGCTAGGATCCTGGAACAAAAGAGCCACAATATCTGAGATTTTTAGATTTTTGCCCAATGCATGGTCAACCTCAAGAGTTAAAAATAATTCTAGGGAGGGATTTGGAGTATTCTGGCAATGGAATCTCACAAGAATGGCAAACCCTAAATTTTGCTGTTCATAGGCCCAGAACTAGCTCATTAAGGGAAGATGCCCACAGCTTCAATAAAAGAACCATATGACTGGCGTGACCCTGAGTACAGCTTCTCTCACTGCCCTCAGAACTGTGCACTGAAGTAGCTACGATTTCCACTTAATTTTATGAAAAACGTAAGACCGAGAATATGCAACCAACCCAGACAACTCATGTAGTAGACAGTAGAGCTGAGAGAATTAAATGAGTTAATATTCATAAAGCACTCGACTTTCTGCTATGACAAAGGTGTTCAGTCAATTACTATTATTGCCTTTTCCCAGTACATGTTCACTAACTACTTCAGACATTGGTAGCAGTCATGGTAGTAAAACCAGCAGAAGCAATCACTATTTACTGATCGCCTAGTATGTAGGCACCCAAGACAAACAGGGTGTCGTGGTCATTACATTATTACTCTTCAGCTATAGGCTTACGAATAGTACAACTTAATAAGAGTATCAGTCGACACAGTGGGGCAGAGTCCTTGAAACACAAGACCAGTAAGGAGTCACAATGACCAACTGTGCACCAGACACGGGTCCTGTAAAGTGACAGGGGTTTTCTGAATGCCTTCCGGCAATTTCACTCTTCACTGGGAACTTTCTCTTTTCTCTTAGTGCTGAAAATATAGGAAATGACAAAATAATGGGATGAAATAAGATTGTAGAAGGAAATCATAAAGAAAAACAGGTTGTTAGATACTATTAAATATTACAGAAGTAAAGCAGAGAAGGGAAGTAACAATTTGGGAGACGGTAGTGTCATGTGGGTGGCCCTCAGGTCTCATGTGTTTGCATTATGCGTCTGTGACTGGCTCATTGTCTAGCACTTAGATGGATGGTGTCAGTGCTACAGCCACATAGGAGTGGAGCTAGGATGTGATGTAGTGGTGGGAAGAAGGCGTGTCTTGCTCTCTCTTGCCAGTTTCTGCCTTGCTGTTTGCAGCCGCCATGAACTGCATGCCCGCCTGCCTTGGAGCCAACTGAGGATGGACTGAAACCTCCAAAATCTGTAAGAAATAAACCTTTCCTTTCCCAACTTTGGTCATAAGGTATTCTGTCTTAGCGACGAGGTAAAAGTAACTAAGACAGGTGGGTCAGGTAGGTAGGGGAATTTTACATAGAAATGATCAGGAGAAACCTCCATGAATATCAGACATCTGAGTGAAGACAGGAAGAAGAAGAAAGAAGAAAGGAGGAAGAAGAAAGAAGAAGTGAGAAAACAAACCCCACAGAAGTAGAGAGAATAATATTTCAGCCAAAGGAAGGAACAAGAACAAAGGTCCTGTGACAGAAGCGCACAGAAGAGAAAGGAGACTGGCGATGTCAGAGGGGAGTGAGGGACAGAAGATCCACGAGTCCAGTGAGGGAGACTGCTGAGGTCCTGGACACTGCCAACACTCTGATGAGTTACACATGAGGTCAATTATTCTTGCCCTTTAGGTCAAGATTAGAAAGATGAAGACCCAGTTGAGAGATGCTACAATGATCCAGGTGAGAGGTAACAATGCTTGGATCAGGATGACAGCAGGAGAGTGACAGGGAATAGCAGTAAGTTTCTAAACGTCATCTGAAAGCCAAATCTAAAGCA